CATGCACACACACACACACACGCACGCACACACACACACACAGTGTTATGCCCACACTATTTACATCACTTCTAAACACTGCTTTATTCTGTGCCATATTTGTATCTCTGACTCTGTCTTTGTCTTCTGTTTCCACGGCAACATGAATAAAGCCAGGTCAGCAATTCTTGAAGTTGTTTGTCCAATAGCTTTTAGATGATCAATTATTGATTTATTTGCAATCTCTCCTGGATTCATCCACCTTAATGAACGAGAGAGAGAGACAGATAGATACATAGAAACATAGATAGAGAGATAGAGATAGATCTATAGATATATACATAGAGAGAGACAGTTAAACAGATTTTTTTGGGCAGAATCCATACATTCCGTAATATTGACAATATTTACATCCTTTAGTTTAAATGACCTTTGACACTTCTTACATATGCAAATCTATAGACTTAAATATACAATCAAGCAACAGTATTTGTCATAGTTTCACCATAAGATAAGAGAACCTTTATTCGTCCCACAGTGTTGCAGCGCACAGACAGGACAGTAGTAAGAGACACAGGCAGCACACACAATGCACAAAATAAGCAGGCGTTTTGTTTCTTAGCTAGCTGTATATTCTTCAATTCTTCCACACACAAAAAAAACGTTGCAGTCCGACAGCAGCAGGAAGGAAAAACCTGCAGAACCTCTCCTTCACACAGCAAGGGTGAATAAGTCTGTCACTGAAGCTGCTCTCCAGAGTGGATACAGTGTCCTGCAGATAGAGAGAAAGAAAGAGATGGATAAAGATAGATCGATTCATTCATAGATATATAGATACATGTGCACTACATTTGGAGTCGACCTAGTTGCATGGTCTTTACTCTCTTTGGTTCTGCATCCACTACTTTGGCAAAGCTCAGCAGCAGCAGCAGCAGCAGTAGCAGCAGCAGCAGCAGCAGCAGCAGCAGCAGCAGCTCACCTGTTCTCGTGCCGGAGGAGAAACCGCTACAGGCCAAATCAGCGCCGCATGTAAAACACAGGTGGCAATTGACTCACAAATGTGGAGCAGAGTCGAGCTCCACCTGCACAGCCCTGGGCCTTCAGCTCTGGACACAGCACACACTGGGTTCGTTTCCTTTTGGATGGATTCATGCTTTAGTTGTTTAGCTAATGAACAAACTGCAGAAAGATTTAGTATCAGAAAATCTGCTTCTGTGTGTGGACATGTTCTTACTCTGTGCTCGCCGACAAAACGGGTTCAGACCAAGCCCAGTGTTGGATTTGTTTTGTTACTTCACTTCTGAGGTTATTTAAGTACTATATTATGTGATGTTTATCTCCATTTTTGGTTAATGTTGTTATGAATTTTCCCCCTTATCTGATGACCCCCCCCCCCCGACCAATCCAGTGAAACCAGAGAATGCACCATGTAGCAGGCCTAATGCTAAGGTCCGAGCTTCAGGGGCCTCTCTCTCTCAGACATCTCTCCTCGGGGCATGATATTTTTTGTTATGTCTGTTTATATCTTGTTGTAATTCAGGAAGAAGTAAGGACAGTGGTGATGATCCAAGACATTCATGGCCATAGATCTTTCCCCCTCATAGACCAACACGACAAATGCAATGATGACAAACACATAGAGCCATTGGTCCATAAGAGGCAGAGAACAGTGTCCAACAATGTTGATAAAAGTCTGTAAATGTGGAGTGTCCTGGATCAGCACTGTCCTCAGACCCTCCTGCATCGGCAAAAGAAATACTCTAAAAACCCAGAGGGGGAAAAGTGACAAACCTCAACCCCACATCAAGGGGGGATCTACTCCCACAGACGGACAGATGGGCTGTAGACCCAGGACTGAGGCTGTAGACCCAGGACTGAGGCTGTAGATCCAGGACTGAGGCTGTAGATCCAGGACTGAGGCTGTAGACCCAGGACTGAGGCTGTAGACCCAGGACTGAGGCTGTAGACCCAGGACTGAGGCTGTAGACCCAGGACTGAGGCTGTAGACCCAGGACTGAGGCTGTAGATCCAGGACTGAGGCTGTAGACCCAGGACTGAGGCTGTAGACCCAGGACTGAGGCTGTAGATCCAGGACTGAGGCTGTAGATCCAGGACTGAGGCTGTAGACCCAGGACTGAGGCTGTAGACCCAGGACTGAGGCTGTAGATCCAGGACTGAGGCTGTAGACCCAGGACTGAGGCTGTAGACCCAGGACTGAGGCTGTAGACCCAGGACTGAGGCTGTAGATCCAGGACTGAGGCTGTAGATCCAGGACTGAGGCTGTAGACCCAGGACTAAGGCTGTAGACCCAGGACTGAGGCTGTAGATCCAAATCAGGTCCGAGTTGTTGTTGACTCATCCAGACGCCGTGTGTCCCGCTGAGGCCCACTCACTGCTGTCTCCTGTGGACGTGTCCTTGGATGCCACATTTTTGCATACGATTTATTATTCATTTCATTTCCGTCGTGCAGCTTTAATGTGACTTTTCATCTCTTGGGAAAAGCCACATGTTCGTCTTTGTGAATATTTATGTGTTGGAATAATCCAGATTATGGCATTTGTGTGACGATGGGTTAGAGTCCGTAACAGAGGACAGAGTACAGAGGAAAGCAAAGCAGGAGTTTTAAAAATGCCTCAAATTTGGTAAAATGTTTCTTATTTTGGGCACATTCTGACTGAGCCTTAAAACAGTATTCTCCAATGAGACAAAGCAAAGTGATCCTGTTTTATAAAGATACAAGACACGACTCCTGTGGAATGAGGAAATAAAGCAACAGTTTTTGAAATCAGACTAAATGTCTTTGTCCCGTTGGAGAATCTTGTTTTAATGCAGTCAGAATGTGTCAGATTAAGATAAAAACCACTTGATTTAAGCAATTATTCACTAATTCTTTGAACTGTTGCGGTGGAGCCTGAGTCGGTGATTACTGTGGCCTTAGTTTTAGAATGAAAATATGAAAGATTATTAAACCTAATATAATATTAATAATACATGAAGAGGTGGAGTTCAAGTAACTCAGGCTCAGGCGAGAGCAGGAGGAAGAGTGAGACTGAGATCAGTGCAGCTGCTGTGGTGAAGAGGGAGCAGCGTCTGCAGTCAGAGCTGTATCAGACTGCTGTGATGAAGAGGGAGCAGCGTCTGCAGTCAGAGCTGTATCAGACTGCTGTGGTGAAGAGGGAGCAGCGTCTGCAGTCAGAGCTGTATCAGACTGCTGTGATGAAGAGGGAGCAGCGTCTGCAGTCAGAGCTGTATCAGACTGCTGTGGTGAAGAGGGAGCAGCGTCTGCAGTCAGAGCTGTATCAGACTGCTGTGGTGAAGAGGGAGCAGCGTCTGCAGTCAGAGCTGTATCAGACTGCTGTGGTGAAGAGGGAGCAGCGTCTGCAGTCAGAGCTGTATCAGACTGCTGTGGTGAAAAGGGAGCAGCGTCTGCAGTCAGAGCTGTATCAGACTGCTGTGGTGAAGAGGGAGCAGCGTCTGCAGTCAGAGCTGTATCAGACTGTTGTGGTGAAGAGGGAGCAGCGTCTGCAGTCAGAGCTGTATCAGACTGCTGTGATGAAGAGGGAGCAGCGTCTGCAGTCAGAGCTGTATCAGACTGCTGTGATGAAGAGGGAGCAGCGTCTGCAGTCAGAGCTGTATTGGACTGATGATTATAACACATGCAGGAGCTGGTTTATCTCAGGCTGGAGCTGTCGGCACGTTGGCAGCTGCTGATTGGAGCGTCTCACTTCCTCCTTGCTGTAAAATCCAATTTGTGTTCGTGCCTCGTCTCTACCATCGCCAATAAAACATGTCTTCTGTCTGTCTGACACAATACCAGACGTTGTCATTTTCTTCAGACTGTTTTGGTGTCGAAACAGAACGCTCTCGATTTACAACTCAGTCTACATCTACTTTAATCGCTACTTTTTATCGTACATTATATATCCTGAAAAGACAAAAAAATTGCCTTTAGCATGTTTGCACACTTCTTTCTTTTGCACAAATCTTGAGTGATTCTATCCGTGCCAAATGTGACATGTAAAGTCTATCTTATCTCACCATCCCTCCCTCATCCCTGGTCATGAGGGAGCAGCGTCTGCAGTCAGAGCTCCCTCACCTATGGTCATGAGCTTTGGGTAAAGACCGAAAGGACGAGATCTTGGATACAAACTGTCCCCGTGAGCCTCCTCCGCAGAGTGGCTGCTCCCTAAGAGATAGAGTAAGGATCTCAGTCACACGGGAGGAGCTCAGAGTAGAGCCGCTGCTTCTCCATGTCGAGAGGAACCAGTTGAGGTGGCTCGGGCGACTGTTTGGGAGCCTCCGGGACGCCTCCCTGGGGAGATGTTCCGGGCACGTCCCACCGGGAGGAGGCCCCGGGGCAGAAAGGACACGCTGGAGGGACTCTCAGCTGGATCGGGAACGCCTCAGGAGGAAGTGTGTGTGGAAGAATTATTAATGACACACATCGATCAAAATTCATGAACAACCAAATTTGCGCAAAAATCGCTAAAACGAAACGAATCGTATGTTTTCTTCTTATGTTTAAATGAAATTATGTAAGACTTTAGACACATACACAAACATTTGAGGGTGTTTTTCTCTCCCAGTGCAAGTTTTTCTGATAACTCCAGTCTTTGCACTTTGATAACTTCAGTCTTGGGCTCAGAAGTCTATTTTGAATCCCCAGAGCAGCATATGGACGGTTTAATTTATCTTTCTTAACGAATACACCGTTAGATCATCCGGCTATTTCCTGAATCATTATCACTCAACCACATATTCATCATTTGGATTTAGTTCTTAATGAATACATTTCTGAATTTCTTGTCCATGTTGCACTTTTATCTCATTTTCTGGGAACATTAATTGAATACAGCCTATATAATCAGACGCCTCTTAGAGTAAAACCCATGCCGTATTTGCCCCCATTCCTGAACATTGAAAATTCTCATTATTTCTTCCCCTTTATTCACGATTCCTCCTCCTCCTCCTCTGCCTCGGGCTCCTTCTGCAGGTTAATGGACTCAGAGGCGTGTGTTTAATGAGTGATGTGACGGCTCCATGCTGCGAAGACCTCTCCTCAGCTCCCCATAGGTTCGGTGGTTATTACCCCTCACCACCGCCACCGCCGCCACCGCCGCCACCGCCCTCCAGAATCCTCTCGTCTCTGCCCTGTCGCCACCGTCTCCCGCCTACCTGCAGGAGAAACAGACACCATATGCCACAAAGCCGCGTGCTTCTGCTGAGATTGTTACACCAGGACGGAGCAGGCGGGTGGGTATGTAATGAGAAACTGCGAATGAGGAACAATTTGTGGAATAGGAAGTGAGAGGCTGAGCTGAGGACGATACGGCGAGGCAGGAGTGATGGAGGCACCGGCTCATGCACAATATAATACATCCAGGAAGTCAGCTGTAGTTGGAAACATCCGGAATTTACACCGGTGTGTATTGGGGAGGTTTCCAAGTAAATAAGAAAATGGAACGATGTATGAAAATCCATGTCTCTGGTAGAGGCATGTCCAAACCAGGGCCCGCGAGCCAAATGCGGCCCACTGTTTCATGGTATGTGGCCGTCTGACTTACGAACACAAACTATCCATTGAGCTACTTTCACAGAGTCATCCATCCAACTTCAGCTCCACCAATAAATACATGCTGCACCTTGTTGTGAAGCTCTGAGCTTTTGGAATTCAGCCATTCACATGTTTTTGTACATTTTCTCATTTGTTTTCAATTGTGTCGCGAAATGGCACCAGTGTAGAGTATATCACCCGATGTGAAAGCCCAAAGCCTGAAAAGCAGAATGTGGTCGGCCCCTGGACAAATCTGGGGAATTGTTGCATGTTCTCCCCATGTCTGCATGGGCTTTCTATGGTTTCCTCCTCAATACAGGACATTTCGGAAAGTTTGCAAAGACCTTGATAAAATAAGAGATGCTTTGTTCGCCCTTCAGTGAGGACATTTCAATGTTCTTAGTTCCAGCATCAGCTGCAGTGGTGTTGCACAACTCAGGGCAGAAAAAGCAGGTCTTCTCTGTGTTACTGTGCCGTGCTGTGCCAGGCCTCAGCTCCAGCGTCGAGAAGATGTGAAATTTTAATCACCTTCTCCTCTGTGTGTCTCCGCTTGTAATTTTAGAATCGCCCTTAATCAAAATCAAAAGCCCTGGCAACGTTTTCAAGATGTTTTCTTCAGCAAAATGTAGTGTTCTGTCTCCAGTGTTCAGAGCAATCAAAGATCAGGAAGAAAGACCCCATCCGCCTCACTCCCGTCACCCGCACTAATTACTATTCATATTATTATTATTATTATTATTAGGGATGCACTGATACCACGAGTACTTTTATTTGAGTACTTTCCAATATCGAATACTGATACGAGAAATTAATTTTTTTTATCTCTGGGAATTCATAAAACTAATATAATTTAATTTATTTTTTCTCATTTTAACAATAAGAAAATGCTTTGTCAATCAAAGATTTTAGCGATTGTTTTAACAGTCATCAATAAGAGCCACAGTCAAACAAAGGCTATGTTGTACAGTTGTTGTTTTTGTGCTCTGGTGCACGCAAAGATGCTAACTCTGGTGCTAGCTCCGGTGCTAACAAAGATGCTAACAAAGGTGCTAACTCGGTTGCTAGCAAAGGTGTTATACGGTGATTTTTCAGGTGTTTGATCAACTGAAGTCAAAGCTGGTGTTATACGTGACGTTTTACACAATGTACAGTTCCTAATTGATTTTATTAAAGTGAACGTCATGGGAATGGTAGATAAGACCATTATTTCAAGACATCCATCCATCCATCCATTTTCTTCCCCTTAATCCATTTCTGGGTCGGGGGGGTGGCAGTCAGAGCTGCACCCAGTCACAGAGCACCAGCCCCTGTATTTCAAGACAAACAAATCAAACTCTAAATACAGTAATATAGTCCAGTTCCACCAGTACCAAGTGAGTGCAGGTGGAACTGTATGAACTGGGTTTTTAAAGAGTGATGTGTGTTTTTCTTGCGTTCCCCTTTATTCTGTGTTTTACTGCTTTTTATTTGTGTATGACTGTTTTAATGTCTTTATCTTTAGAGAGAGAATGATGAGAGAAACGTGGCTAATTCTGGTGCATTTACAAAAAATAATGTAGAATGTCCCTGTCAAATGAACTAATACAAAAACAAACAAAAGTCAAAAGTTCATGTTGTTAAAAAGTCAATTTACTCTGTATTTCAATCATAGTGTGATTTAATGTTCTCAGCTGGTCTGTGTAGGTTTTTCTCCAGGTGCTCCAAGTTCCCCTACTGCTAAAAACATGCACAATAGTCACCCAGAACCTCCCCCTGGCCCGGACTGGGGCCTAGACTGGAGGCCTGGATTGGGGCCTGGACTGGGGCGGGGCCTGGACTGGGGCCTGGACTGGGGGCTAGACTGGGGCCCGGACTGGGGGCTAGACTGGGGCCTGGACTGGGGGCCTGGATTGGTGCCTGGACTGGAGGCTGGACTGGAGCCTGGATTGGGGCCTGGACTGGGGGCCTGGATTGGTGCCTGGACTGGAGGCTGGACTGGGGCCTGGATTGGGGCCTGGACTGGGGCGGGGCCTGGACTGGGGCCTGGACTGGTGCCTGGACTGGGGCCTGGATTGGGGCCTGGATTGGGGCCTGGACTGGGGCGGGGCCTGGACTGGGGGCTGGACTGGGGCCTGGACTGGAGCCTGGATTGGGGCCTGGACTGGGGCCTGGACTCTCAATAGGACTTTCTGGCTTAAATAAAAGTCAACAATTCCACAACAGCAGTCTGACGTTGTGTCCAGTTTATTTATATTGTTATGCTTCTTTTGAAGACTAAAGTGTGTGTTAGTCCGTGTGAGCCTCAGTGCGTTTCAAAGTGACCGGCCTCGATGATCATTTGCCTGTTATCCAAAACTCTGCTCAAAGCTCCAGAGGAAAGACTCGATCCGATCACAACAATAAAGAGTTCCCGGGACGCCTCCTGAAGCGTTTACGTGGCTTTGTTTTGACTCGACGTTTCTCTACCTCAAAGATTAACACAACATTAACCTCAGAAGGAAATGAGCAAAAGTATCAGATGGAAAAGAACATGTAGCTCTCAGACCTGACTGACAGATTTGTTTGGTTTTGATTAATTCACAGCAGGTTTATGCAGCTATACAGTGGAATAGTCTTCCTAGAAATGTGAGACAGGCTTCTCAAGATGAAAGATCTGTTATTCGTTCCGCAGCGGGGGAGATTTCAGTGTTGCATCACAAGTTACAGAACAGTAGCAGTGAGGAGCACACAGCACAAGATAAATAACTATCTTAAAATTAACTAAAATCTCTAACTCTAGCATCAATAAATAAACTATAAAATCTCCATCTTTAACGTATCAAAGAAGCATCAAATCTGCGGCTGTAAAGTGCCGAGCTGTGGTTGTGTCCTTGGGCAAGACACTTCCCCCACGTTCGAATGAGTCTGGTGTGTGTGTGAATGGTTGGTGGTGGGGGGGGCCGCTGTTGCCTCGCTCCAAAAAAGCGCTGTATAAAACGAATGCATTATTATTGTTATTTTTCAAGTGCTAGTAATATGTAGTTGTATGTTTATAACTTATGACAATGACAATGTTCAAATCCGGGTCAAAAACGGTTGTGTTTGTGCAAAAAACTGAGGATTTTAACGGTTCTTTTCTTCAGCACTTTTAGTTTCATTTTGTACGAACTGTGCTATTTAATTAGTAAGTAAGTAATCTTTATTTATATACCGCCTTTCACAGACCAGAGTCACAAAGCGGTTTACAATTGTTATTTTTGGGCATTTGTCTCTCACTCCACACAGAGATGGGAGCGGGGCCAGTACAGGAGGCGCATGCCAGAACTATTGTACATATTTTTAGTGGTAGGGGAAACCGGAGCACCCGGAGGAAACCTACGCACACACGGGGAGAACATGCAAACTCCACTCAGAAAGGCCCTGGTCCGACCGGGATTCGAACCCAGGACCTTCTTGCTGAGAGGCGAGAGTGCTATCCACTCAGACACCGTGCCGCCCAATGGCAATTAAACCTGCCTTACCTTGCCAATTTTTAAATGAAAATATAACATGCTGTGCCTTTAAATAAAAGTGACCTGTGGGTAAAAATCTCTCAAATATATATGTATACATGTAAAAACCATGCTGCTCTGAAGGTAATCCCTCAATCCATGGATCTGCTGCACCAAAGCCACGTCCCGTATTTATCTCACGTCATTGTTGAAATCACAGACACACGACCGGACCGTTTCTCTCTACTGTAATGACTGGACACACTTGCAGACACAAATTTAACAAGGTTTATGATAAAAAAAGTATAAAGCTAATTGGAGTGGAAAGCAAGAGGAAAGTAGAGTCTGAAAATCAAAGTCAAAAAGGAGAAAAAAGGAAATCTTATATCCAAGGAATAAGTCAAGGAGTAGTACCGTGAAAGTTTTACTGACAATATAGCACAAGATGAAGGGTCCCTGGGTTTTCAGACTGTAGAGGTGCAGTTAATGAAGGACCCAAAAGGCAAGAAACACAAAAATGATGATTTAATGAAGATAAAATAAAAGTCCAGAGTAAAACAAACTCAAAAATCCAAACAGAATACCAGAACCAGGAACACGGACGGGACAAAGACTGAGAAAATACAATGGACCAGCTACGAGGGGAGGGGAGCACAGGTACATGAGCACAGGTACATGAGCACAGGTGAAGCAGACCATCAAGACAGGGGAACAAGAAGTCAAACTAAAACAAAACCACACAACTGAAATCAAAATGAAAACATTTACAAACATAGAATCCACACCATGACAGAGGCTGATGAAGACGATGGGCTGCAGGTGTGAAGAGGGGTGGGGCCAGAGCGCACGCGCACACACACACACACACACACACACACACACACACACACACACACACACACACACACACACACACACACAACCCTGACCATCTGCTTGTGTGTTAACGTGTGTTGACGTGTGTTATGTGTGTTTGTGTTGTGCAGCCGGGGCACGTGAAGCTGTCCAAACCCGTGGCTCTGTGGACGGTGCAGGACGTTTGCAAATGGCTGAAGAAGCACTGCCCCAACCAGCACCAGATCTACAGCGACTCCTTCAAACAGCACGACATCACAGGTACAGGCCCCGCGCTGCTGCTGGGTCAGATACCTCCACCTCCAGGCCTTTCTGCGTGGAGTTTGCATGTTCTCCCTGCGTCTGCATTGTGGATCTATTATAACATCTGCACAGGGTGTTACTAGCTTGGAGCTGAAGGACTGTTCATGCTGCTTTAGCCTACAGTCCTACCTGACAAAATCACACACACAAAAAGACATAGTTCAGGCATTTTTAATCTTGGCAGCGTGCTCCCAGAACAATGTCTGCTTGAAAACAGGCCACAGACTCCTTTTGTCAGGACATAACACAGCTCCTTATGCAGATAGGAGAGGAAGAACCAACACAACAAAAGGCACTCCATATTAGTGGATACAAATCCTGCTTCCTCCTGGTATTTAAAGAGCCACTAAACACCTGTGCCCAGCCTTACTCCGCCCACATGAAGATTTGAAAATGTTCTCTTAAAAGGGCGTTGCCTGGAGGACCGAGGAACAAGAAGGGGGGCTTAGAGTTGGGCGTGGTCTGGGCTGTGATTGACAGCTCACTTGTCACACAAAAAAAAAACAGACAGTTGTCATTGCTGCTTAAAGCAATAGTTTACAGACCAGAAAGTCTCATTCCACCCTTGTTTACACACTAAGATAATTGTAAAGCTACACACCTGAACCTAATCACACTCAATAATCTCAGAATCACTCATGTAATTTAATTTTAATCCACTAGATGGCGCCAGAATACTCCAAACTGCAGCTGGGGCGTGTGTGAGTGAGATGGTTGACATGGGTCACACAAAACAACTGATGTCATAGAGAACTTCAGAGTCAATGGAGAGGCCAGGACCAAATTCAAATGTAGTACCACCAAAAAGGTTGAGAGGGCGCCACACAGACGTTTTTTGGCTCAAAAGTGATATTTTATCTAATTTGAACTAAAATGTCAAAAAAATGACCAGGATATGTAGAGAGCACTACAATAAACATATGTATGGAGTTTATGAGTTGAAAAGAGTTGATTTGGCGTTTAGTCGCTCTTTAACTAATGAGTCCCAGACTTCCTGGAGCCAACGTGAATTACAATACAACCTTTCAGTATACAATATATATATACTGATATTTATATATATCAGTATATCAGCCAAATATGACTTATTAAAATGATAACAAACAAGATTCCAATGTCAAGGACCCACTTGCTCAGTGAATTCTCGCGGTAATGCAGACTAAATGAGACTAAATCCACCTGGGCTATTCAGACATTTTCCACATAGAACTTAATGTAAACTAAAACAGCTCGACCTCAGCTGACAGAGAACCTGACAGAGAACCTACAGAGAACCTACAGAGAACCTGACAGAGAACCTACAGAGAACCTACAGAGAACCTGACAGAGAACCTACAGAGAACCTACAGAGAACCTGACAGAGAACCTGACAGAGAACCTGACAGAGAACCTACAGAGAACCTGACAGAGAACCTACAGAGAACCTACAGAGAACCTGACAGAGAACCTGACAGAGAACCTGACCTACAGAGAACCTACAGAGAACCTGACAGAGAACCTGACAGAGAACCTGACAGAGAACCTACAGAGAACCTACAGAGAACCTGACAGAGAACCTACAGAGAACCTACAGAGAACCTACAGAGAACCTACAGAGAACCTGACAGAGAACCTGACAGAGAACCTACAGAGAACCTACAGAGAACCTGACAAAGGACCTACAGAGAACCTGACAGAGAACCTGACAGATAAATCTACAGAGAACCTACAGAGAACCTGACAGAGAACCTGACAGAGAACCTACAGAGAACCTGACAGAGAACCTACAGAGAACCTACAGAGAACCTGACAGAGAACCTACAGAGAACCTACAGAGAACCTGACAGAGAACCTGACAGAGAATCTACAGAGAACCTACAGAGAACCTGACAGAGAACCTGACAGAGAACCTACAGAGAACCTACAGAGAACCTGACAGAGAACCTACAGAGAACCTACAGAGAACCTGACAGAGAACCTGACAGAGAACCTACAGAGAACCTACAGAGAACCTACAGAGAACCTACAGAGAACCTGACAGAGAACCTGACAGAGAACCTGACAGAGAACCTGACAGAGAACCTGACAGAGAACCTGACAGAGAACCTGACAGAGAACCTGACAGAGAACCTGACAGAGAACCTACAGAGAGCCTGACAGAGGACCTACAGAGAACCTGACAGAGAACCTGACAGATAAATCTACAGAGAACCTACAGAGAACCTGACAGAGAACCTGACAGAGAACCTACAGAGAACCTACAGAGAACCTGACAGAGAACCTGACAGAGAACCTACAGAGAACCTACAGAGAACCTGACAGAGAACCTGACAGAGAACCTACAGAGAACCTACAGAGAACCTACAGAGAACCTGACAGAGAACCTGACAGAGAACCTACAGAGAACCTACAGAGAACCTGACAGAGAACCTACAGAGAACCTGACAGAGAACCTACAGAGAACCTACAGAGAACCTGACAGAGAACCTGACAGAGAACCTACAGAGAACCTACAGAGAACCTGACAGAGAACCTACAGAGAACCTACAGAGAACCTGACAGAGAACCTGACAGAGAACCTGACAGAGAACCTGACAGAGAACCTACAGAGAACCTGACAGAGAACCTGACAGAGAACCTGACAGAGAACCTGACAGAGAACCTACAGAGAACCTGACAGAGAACCTCACAGAGAACCTACAGCTTTCATAAAGGTCAGATTCTGTGTGGATGTTAGTGTCTTGTTGTCCGGAACTTTTTTTCTTCTTAAATCTTTCGGCTTTCTATAAATCCACTCTTTACTGCCACAAACTCGTTTCCGTCCCGCTCTGACACGTTTTCATAAAAAATACTGTTGATAGACACGACATAATGCACTTGACTCGTGATGATCAAAGCTCTCTAAATCTATTTGGACTAAACATGCAAACACTATTAATACAAAAAGCAAGATTAATACAAAACCAAGAACTGATTCTGTATTTATAGATTTTCTTGTTACTGTTAGAAGTACATCTTTGACATGTTTCTGCCAAAGTACAAACTCAGACTCTGAGGAGCACAGGGACCGGCCTCCTGCTGGGACTCTGAGGAGCACAGGGACTGGCCTCCTGCTGGGACTCTGAGGAGCACAGGGACTGGCCTCCTGCTGGGACTCTGAGGAGCACAGGGACTGGCCCCCTGCTGGGACTCTGAGGAGCACAGGGACTGGCCTCCTGCTGGGACTCTGAGGAGCACAGGGACTGGCCTCCTGCTGGCCTCAGACTCAGGACAAAACATAAGAAGGCAGCATTTCAGATTTATGCAGCTGAAATTTTAAAATCTTCCTGAAAATGTGAGACAGACATACATTTATTTAATCTTTTATCTTTATGGAATGCAATATGAGTCCTGTGATTGAAGTTTAGTTTAGATACATGACTCGTTTGTCGACCAATCACCAAAGATAATGTAGAAATAGTATTCAGCAACTTATTCTTTTTAAATGAATATACTGTGAGTTTTTTTTATTTTTTTTTATGAAGTTTGTTTTGTAAATCACAGCGTATGAACTTTTCCGCGCACACACTAACTCTCTCCCTCGCCTCGGCTCTAAAGCAACACTACAAACCTCTGCAACACATCTCTCGGCCTCTCACTTCCAGCGCTCTCCCCTCGCCACGACCCTGAACCGCTCCACGGCCTCCATCCCTCACCCAGCCGCCGTTGCCCCCGACAACCGCCTCCCCGTCAATCACGTCCTAACGAAGCGGCGTGCAAGGTCAGCCCACCTCTCTGCGCTCGGGAGGTCCGCGGAGGCCGCACACTCGCCGGATAATTACCCTCCGCGTGGCTCCCGGGGCTTGTCTGATTGTGCTAATATGTTTGTGCTGGAGGGGGGGGGGAGACGGGGGAGACGGGGGAGACGGGGGAGACGGGGGAGGGGGGGAGACGGGGGAGGGGGGGAGACGGGGGAGACGGGTGAGTGTCTGACTTATGCTGTGGCGGGTAACGATGAGTGACGCAGTAACTGGGTGTTTAGTCTCAGGGTTGAGCTGTGGCGGAGGACATCTGCATTCTTTATCGGCGGAGGGTGAAGTGTTGATGGAGCACTTTGGCTGAATTTAAATGTGTAGTTTTTGTTATTATTATTTTTTAAACAATGCGATTCATTCACAGCAGATTAAGTTTCTAAAGTAGGCTATTTTTCAGCTGTATTTTTATTTTATTGTAGCTCTCACCCAGGATTTGTTTTGTGTGTGTTCCTATTCATTCATATGTAGTCAAAAATAACAATAATAGTAATGACATACCTGTTTTATATCAAGCCTTTTCAGACACTCATGATAAACTTCTACAGTAGCCACAGCCGCCCTGGAGAGGACTGGAAGAAGCGAGGCAACCAGTCCGAAAAAAGTTTAATTAAAAGCAAGGTTTTTATATTTAGTCCAGTTTATTAAGTGTTAAAACCTGCATTTATAAGGCCAAAAGTAGTTCAGTTTGTAGTGCCTTGGTCTTTGGACCTTGTGGTTGTAGGTTCGATCCCTCATGGGTTCGATGTCATCTGCTCCCACTGATATCTGCTGTTGTTGTGTCCCTGGGCAAGACACTTAACCCCGCTTTGCCTGAAGGATCAAGGCTGTCTATGATGACGGAGAAGCCATCATTCAGAAATGGAATAACAGTTGAAAATGATTTTACACATGACCTACAAATATAAGTTATAAGGCTGATGCTAAAGACCAAATGTTGACTGTTGCAAGTAGACTGTAAACAATGGTATGTACTTTATTTTAGCAGGGAAAGTATACAAATAAAAATTACCACAAAGGAGAGATGTATTGTACCAAGTTATAGCTAAGATGCTAATTTCCACCTGTAGTCCCATAATGCTTGAAGAAGATGACAAAGTCTGGGATCGCGTCTTTCATTCAGACAGAAGACATGTTTTATTGTCGTGTATTATACAGAGCGGAGGCATGGAGACCTCCAATCAGCAG